AGGAGAAAGAGCAACACTGACTAACTGAGAAAACAGACCAAAATATTGTTCTCTAAGTTCACAGTACTAGTAAACAACAGGATTTTGAGAAAAGTGTGATTTTCAAATTGACAATGTCTTTAAAATTATTTGCTATTTAAACTTTAGCTCTGTAATTTACAACAAACTGCGCAGCTAGGACAGATGCATTGATTTTTATTGTACATTTTGCAAAAGTGCCACTTAGCTTCTCTTCATTATTTACCAACACGTCTCATTCACTGTGTCGAAGAGGTAACGGTTAGATAAGGAACCACAACAACAAACAAAAAAACGAGAGCCAACCAACCACACGCCACATTATCGGTCATGCCTTTCTATGTATTAACTCAAATCACTCTTGGTGCAAGAGCCTTCTGCTCTGCAGCACTTGTCATCTGAAGCCACTTTTGATTGAAACTGGCCTGCAAGCAACTTCCCATTCCCTGCTTTCAAAGGCATTTCCCAACACGCATCCTCTGGCTCTCTGCGGGGTGGAAGTGGTATGTTTGTGCGCTGGCCCAACCTTGAGCACACTTGCAGATCCCTGAACCCAGAGAGGGTCATCCTACAGGTCGGAGCAGAACAGAAGCAGCCGAGACCCTTTCTGGGCAAGAAAGGGGAGGTCAGCACGGCAAGTGTCCGTTCCTCAGGTGGAACCTCAGTGCACAGTTTGGCTCCTTGCAGTTAGAATGATGCTTCCAAAATTTTTTAGTGGCCACCTGTGCCAGGATCTCACAGAATTGTTCTTCCCGCCCTGTCCTGAGACTCTCAATCCCACTGTGGTTTCTCTTTCCATTTTTGAGACCCCCATGCCCATTAATCATCATTTGCTGTTCTGGATGCCTAGCTCACCTGTGCCTTCCCCTCAGCCCGTACAGAGACAGTGTGCTACGTGCCCCCTCTAGGCCCATCCCTAGAGGATGCGACTGTTACATCTATCAGCTAGAGAGCCTGGCTCTTTAGCTCAAGCTGCACAGACACTGGCTTTTAGCTCTGGTGATCCCCGGTTCAATCCCTGGCAACAGCCAAGATGGCAGCCACCACAGATGCACACTGCTTATATCAAGTGCCCTGCAGTTCTCGATCCCTGCATTATAACTTACACACAGCTCAGCTGATTGAGGCCCTAATTTAAAGATAGCCCAAATTCAACCTACTGTGGCTCTGATGCAGTTTATAATGCACCTGTTCACCTGCTGCTCTCCATGTAGCTGTGTCTCAGAATCTTTTGGGAGCTGATCATGCCCTTCTGGTTCCTTAAAAGAGCTGTTAGGACGAGAGGCCAGAGAGTCAAGTTTAGTGAGGCCGGCCAAAAGAGAATTAGAAAAGCAACTAGCTAAAGACACAAAAACTAACAGCAAAAAAAAAAAAAAAAAATTAAGTACATCAGAAGCTGGAAGCCCGCCAAACAATCTGTGGGGCCACTGGATGATCAAGGTGCTAACGGAGCACTCAAGAAAGACGAGGGCTTTGCAGAGAAGCTAAATGAATTCTTTGCATCAGTCTTCACTAAAGAGGATGAGGGGAAGATCCCACTCTTAATCCGTTCTTTTCTCAGTGTCCCAGACTGAGGTGTCAATAGAGGACGTTTTGGAACAAACTGATAAATTAAATAGTAATAAGTCACCAGGACCAGATGGGATTCACCCAAGAGTTCTCAAAGAACTCAAATATGAAATTGCAGAACTACAAACTGTGGCATGTAACCTATTGCTTAAAGCAGCCTCTGAACCAGATGACTAGAGGATAGGTAATGTGATGCCGATTTTTACAAAAGCCTTCAGAGGCGATCTTGGAAATTGCTGGCCACTAAGCCTAATTTCAGTACCAGGCAAACTGGTTGAAACTATAGTAAAGGACAGAATTATCAGACACATAGATGAAAACGATTTGTTCGGGAAGAGTCAACACAGCTTTTGTAAAGGGAAATCATGCCTCACCAATCTGTTAGAACTCTTTGTCAAGGTCAACAAGCATGTGGACAAGAGCGAGCCAGATGAAACAGTGTACTTGGACTTTCAGAGAGCCTTTGACAAAGTCCCTCACTAAAGGCTCTTAAGCAAACTAAGAAGTCATGGGATAAGAGGGAAGGCCCTTTCATAGAGCAGAAGTAGGTCAAAATATAGGAAACAAAGGGCAGGAATAAATGGTCAGTTTTCAAAATGGAGAAAGAGAGGTAAATAGCGGAGTCACCCAAGCATCTGTACTGGGACCTGTGCTGTTCAACATATTCACAAATGATCTGAAATATGGTGTGAAGAGTAAGGAGGCAAAATTTGCAGAAAACTATCTTGAGTAATTTTGTGTCAAGTTCAAAGCTGACTGCGAAGGATTACAAAGGGATCTCACAAAACTGGGTGATTGGTAACAAAATGGCAGAAGAAATTCAATGTTGATAAATGCAAAGTAATTCCCATTGGAAAAAATATACCCAACTATATTCAAAATGAAGGGGACTAAATTAGCTGTTACCACTCAAGAAAGAGATCTTGGAGTCATCATGGATAACTCTCCAAAACATCTGCTCAATGTGCAGTGACAGTCAAAAAAGCGAACAGAATGTTAGGAACCATTAGGAAATGGATAAGACAGAAAATATCATATTGCCCCTATATAAACCCCTGGTACACCCACGTGTTGAATACGGCATGCAGTTCTGGTCGCCCCATCTCAAAAATGGTATATTAGAAGTGGAAACAGTACCGAGATGGGCAACAAAAATGATGAGGGGGATGGAACAACTTCCATAGGAGAACAGGTTAAAAAGACTGGCACTCTTCAACTTGGAAAAGAGACGACTAAGGGGGGGTATGATCGAGGTCTATAAAACCATGAACGGTGCGGAGCAAGAGATTAGGGAAATGTTATTTACCCCTTCACATAACATGAGAACTCGGGGTCACCCAATGAAATTCACAGGCAGCAGATTTAAAAGAAACAAAAGTACTTCTTCATACAATGCACAGTCAGTCAATCTGTGGAACTCATTGCCAGGGGATGTTGTGAAGGACGAAAGTATAACAGGGTTCAAACAAGAATTAGATACCCTCATGCAGGATAGATCCAGCAATGGCTATTAGTCAAGATGATCAGGGACACAACCCCATGCTCCAGTTGTTCCTAAACCTCCAATTGCCAGAAGCAGGGACTGGACAACATGGGATGGATCACTCCAAATTGCCCTGTTCTGTCCATTCCCTCTGAGGCACCTGGCATTGGCCACTGTCGGAAGACAGGATACTGAACTAGATGGACCTTTGGTCTGACCCAATATGGCCATTCTTATGTTCTTAAGAGATCAGTAAATTCCATCTGGTAGCTAGCACGCAGTCACAGCAAGATACACTAAGTGTCAGTCCAATTTCCAGTATCCACATCATAGAAACCACCATCAAACAACTGACAATAACTGAGATCCTTAGTGCTACTGCAACAGAGGGAGAGAGGACTGAATAGTCAAGTGGTCTGAATGATCCTCCCACTGAGGGGGGTGGTAGTCCGACTGGATGGGCACAGAGAGCAGAAGCTTGGACCCCATTTCCTGTGCTAGACCTGTTCTATGAGCAAAGAGGGCTTCAGTTGCCACAAATGTCAATGTGGCACACTCCAAGGAGACTATACTGACGCACACATAGGTAACTTAAAAAAAAATCACCACCATCAATGACAGAAAACATGTTATAAGAAAACGTTAACAGCTAAACGGATTACATGTAACATGACACACCTGTGTGGGTTGCCAACCCAAGTGGGGAACAACCCAAGGACTTCTGAGTCTTAAATACTGCGTTTTCTACTGTCAGCACTAAAAGGCCTCTGTTCTTTTAACCACAGCTGTAGCAGACTCATCAACCTCTATATGGGGCCAGGGAGATCGGACCTACCACAGCCCAGCAGGTAATTTGCAATTAGAGCATGGAATTCTTCGGTAAGGAGGAGAAGTCAGAATGTCTGATGCCTTTGCATTATTCAAAGACACGCACAAACCTTCTGTCCTTTCCCTTGTTCCCCAGCACAGTCTATTTCAGCCTCCAATGTTCTAGAGTATTGTTTTCCCACTTCCCCCCACTCCTCCTTTGTGCTAATGTGTGATCTGAATATACTAAAACCAAAGAAAAGGAGAACGATCTTTAGGGGCCAGGATAGACCTTTCAAAGACTACAGCTCCTCTCACTTCCCCATATTTAACGAGCATAAAGCAGTGCTAATTATCTACCAGATCCCAAAGGAATTAGGTGAATGGTGACATGCTACGAAAATATTTTGACCTCTGATCTCATTACTCAGGTCCCATGTAAGTCATTCTCCTAGCTACTCTTCTTTCCATGTGTTGGGTAACACTAATTAATATCAACAGCTAATCAAAGTGCAGCTCGGGATGTGCCAGAATAATTATACACACACACACACACACACACCCCATTATAATTCAACTTAACAAGACCCAGGACCACAGTTTCTATAATAACACTGAGGCAAAAACAACCAATCAAGAGATTGAATAAAGGAGGAAGGACACAAGGTCAGCACAGGATGGAATTGCTTTTTGTCATTGAAGAAATGCTAGAAGGTAGCAAACCCTCAGTGGCGTAAGCAGGCATAACTCCATTGACTCCCACTGATTTAGGCCAGCTGAGGATCTGGCCATCATAGTCCTTACTGAACCTTTCTTTACTACTGCAGAAATACAGTGCATGCTGTATACAGACCTTGTGTCCTGAAACAAAAGGACTTGACAAGATAGTGGCCCAAAGGGAAAGGCTGGCTTTCTGCAAACAGGAGGGCCTTGTCAGGAGGGAATCTGGAAGGGTTCCAGGGGAAATTAAAATGTAACTGGGAGGGGGAAAAAAGATGATGACTTCATAACTTATTTTACAGACAATTCTGAGGCCTGCCAGCATTTAAAGGAACCTAGACAATTCTTTCTCAGCTCTTAAGCCAGGCCGAAGAGTCTGTATCAATACCAGAGAAATACTTACTTGAAAACCTAACTGCAGTCGTTTGACTGGCAACCGCGCCTAGGGAGCTCTGGGAGACACAGGAGTAATTACCCTCTGCGCCAGTCCTTTCAGGATATTTACTCTCCTTAGCAGCAGTCGGGGACGATATGAAGAGTGATCCATTTGGAAGCACGAGAAGGTGCTCCTGCTCCACTAATGGGAACCCATTCTTCTTCCAGGTGATATTGATCAACTGCTCGACAGAAGCCAGGTTACAGTCCAGCACCACGGCTTGGCTCGGGTCTAATGTCACCTTTGGAGAGGCAGCACTGCAGCTCAGCTCCAGAGAATCCCCCTGCACCAGCTTCCCTGCAAGGCAAAGACATTTGGGTTGTGTCCTGATTTATACAAACAGATGTCCCGGCACTTTGCGATTCACGTGATCGGACATAAACACACAAACTTCAGCCCTGCCAGGGTCTGGCATCTGACGTGTCACCCACAAGTAGCAGCGCCCATCACGCATCTCTCCTGCACAGCTGGGCTCCGGGAATGACCTGCAGCGTCTCCTCTGGGCTACGGAGCCAGCTCTGCAGACAGCCTCCCTACCTCCTGTGTTTCTACACCGCTGCTGGAGCCAAGCGGGGAAGGTGCAGTCAGACGCTGCAGAGATGGCAGTAACAGCAGCATCGGGCACAAAAGACAGTGGGGAGCCAGCAACAGCCTCTGACTCTCGCACCTGCCTTCAGACATCCCCACCCACACACCCCAGCTACTCCCACAGCACAGCACCCACCTATCCCAGACAGCCCAGCACCGCCCACTTAGCCCCCGACTCCCTCCAGCATCGTCCCAGCTATTCCTACACTGCCAGACACCCACTTACCTACCCAAGCGACAGTTGTCCAGTTCCTTGCAGCTCCCTGTCCAATCCCTCGCCCCCACTAGGGGCAGGGCGCATAACCTGATATTTATGGCTATGGGCCAAGTATGTAAATTAGCCAAGACATTTGCATGAAGTGTCACACACAGAGCTGCAGAAAACTTGGCAGTTATGCCCTTAGCATCGGCAGGCACAAGTCTCTCTGAAGCCAGCTTACCCCAGGGGCAGAACTCGGCTCAACACGGGTAGGAATCTGCTTCTACCAAACTTAATGACTGTTCTTCGCCTAGGATGTGTAAACACACAGGAAAAGTCCTACAAAATTAAAGAAAATAAGAGCTTTCCTATGGGCTTTAACTACCTTATAAGATGTAATAGAGAATTATCTCCCTGCAATAGCATTCCTTATGATGGCTAAAAGCCTATCGAAATTCTTTTGTGTTCTTAGATCCTTTAATTTTGTAGTGTAATTTTATAGTGTAATCCTATTGATTTCACCCTTACTAAGTTGTTCTTTTCCATAAAGAAGGGAGTCTTCTGCTGAGAATACCCAGTCACCCTGTTTAACCTGGATGCACATGGGGAGAGAGTCCATTTTCCGGTAGTCTACTTCTGTGGGAATTCTGCACCATTGCGCAATGCAGAAGTTTGCAGAAATGAATGTTTTTGCACATAATTTCCTTTCCCCCACCCCCAGAAATGGGCTGCAGTGCTGCTGGCCACCACAAGGGGTCGCTGGACCCAGCAGAGCCCAACTTGTGCACAGAAGACACTGCCTGGGGGAGAGGGAGGAAAGAGTAGAAATTTCCTAGCAGCTACAGTTTCCTGCAGGCCCTGAGGAAAGGAGACAGCAGCATGCAGGAAACTCCACACAAGCCTGGGACCCAGCTACAGGCTGTTTCTCCTTCTGGATCCCTGGGCAGTAGGGGGATGGGTGTCTGGGCTGGGGGGGGCCACAGCTGGACTCTGGAGGGGGAGGGGGTGTGGGTATCTGGGCTGGGGGGCCCCACAGCTGGACTCGTGGGGAGGGGTTGTGGGTCTCTGGCCTCCCAGCTGGGCTTTTGGGAAGGGGACAGGAGGCAAAGAAACTAGAACTGGGTTGTCATAAGGGTTTCTTTAACTCTACTCCTGGGGGAATTTCTGCGTGAGTCTGTATTGTAACAGACATATTTATGAGAGGTATTTTGAGATAAATTACCAAAATAATTGAAACTGGTGTAATTATGTAATGTTATTTTGACAAATAAAATCTGCAGAATTTTGCAAAATTTTAAAATATTGTGTGCAGAATTTTTATTGTTTTGGTGCAGAATTTTTAATTTTTTGGCACAGAATTCTCCCAGGACTAGGTAGTCATAAGCCAAGTCCTAACTTTAAAGGGTGTTCAGAGCCCCCTGTATAAGTAAGCACAAGACCAGAAGTTCAGATCCAGATTTGGATCCAAATGTAAATTGCCACAAAGTTCGGAAACAGGGGTCAGACCTGGGGATCTGATTCAGGCTTGTCACAATTTCTAACAGACTGGGTATTTTACATGTTTGCATTCAAAACTCCATCTCTGTGGGCTGACTGGTAAAAAACAAAGAACAAAGCACTACAGAAGAGCCAAACCCCAACTAACATGGACAGGAACAGAATCAGACCTCGATAGCTAGACATGAGCAGTGCAGCCTTCAGCTGACAACCAAATCTGGGTTACAAAAAGATTCACCCAGAGAGATCTCACAGTAACAAGATCATGAACAAGGGCTAATTACGAGAGAATCACAGCAAGGGCCAAGAGGGGAGGAAAAAAATGTAAAACTGGGAATACCCACTAAAGCAGGTGTTGGATAGCTGATAACACAAGGCTTATGGTTTATCATAAGGTAAACGAACAAGTCAAAAAAGAACAAGCAACAGAAAAATGGCCAAAATATCCGTCCCACTGTCTTAGCACTCTAACCCCATGATGATCTATGCAAACAGTTCCTAAAACTCTACATCAAGTGCTGTTTGTCCACTCTCAGTCAAAAGGAAGGATGTTACAGCTACAAACTACTGGACACTGAGAAGACTGCATCATGTCTTACCAAGCTTATGGCAGCCTGCTTGCCGCAGTGAGGTCCTTGATCAGTTACCAGCGGTGAGAAAGTTAAATGGAACAGGTCTTGGTCTGGAACGTTTCCAAACCAACACAAACAATCCCACTTGCAATTGAGTTTCACCTCTAGCCACAATGCCTCGGCATTTTCTAAAGAACATTGTCATTAATAAAATGCATTTGCTATTGCAGGTCTCCAGAGACACTAAGTCAATGTTAGCTGGCAACACTGCTTCCACACGCCAGCAATCTCCACTCTGCTGGAAGCATCACATCCACTCTCTTCATGGCTCCCCTCCAAATTATTTTGTCACTGCTCCAATCGAAAATGTTTCCTGCCTCTATAACGAGTTTCTCAACACTGGATATGAACCACATGGCTCCCTGCCTGTCCCCTATCACAGAAAGCTACAGATTAATTTTATAGGAATGCAAACACCCTATTAAACCTTCTATTACCTACTGCTGATAAAAGGGCTGCATGTTAAAAGCGCGCACTTTAAGCATGCAATTAGGGGCAATGACACGCAAAATTACACATGCAGGGTAATGGAATTGTTTCTAGGCATCGGAAGCTCCAGGTGCAACTGAAAAGAAGGAATTTGCACGGCCCAAGTGCCCGGTTAATTTAGTGACCCCCTGCTGTGCAGAAAACCTGTCATCTTGCAGCTAGCTCAGGGATAAGCAGTTGTGCTCACAGAGGCCCGCTGATCCGCGGTCTCAGCTCAGAGTCACAGAGGTACGTGTTCTCCTCTATGCACTCTCCTACAGATTATAACGGCGCCTTCCCCCCCGCCCCTTCATCCAAGCAATGGCCTTTTGTAGCCAAGAAGAAAACTAACAGCAGGTTAAAAAGTTCTGATGATAAAGAAACTAATTTTCATCCAAGCTGAATATAAATTTCCCCACCCCCCATGACCTCTTTAGTTCTTCAGACCTGGAGTAGAGCCCTGCCCATGCCTCAGTTTATCTTCCGTGTTGCATCAAACCAGCCACCACAACTGGTGTTTTCACAGTGCTGCTCTCCTTCGGGGCATAGCTATCTTATTCCCCTTCCCATGTAATACTCACTGCCTGCCATCACTGGGGTGTTTGCAGGACTGAAGTCTGTGAAGTCTTTCAACACAGTCAGCACCATCGGTGCTCTGTATAGTATCAGAATTATTTTATTAGTAAGGTAAAAATGCCGACTCATCTTTTCCAACAGAATGAAAACAAGCTATGCAATGATTTGGACCACAATTCAAATCCTCGACGAGGGTAAGTCATTTGTTATCGGAATAAATATGTGTCAGTAGATCAGACAGGGATGCACCGTTTCTCTTGCAGCTTCCTTTGGGCCAAAGTTCAACCAAGCGCTGCCCACCCCACAGGAAGCGCACACGTATCTTGCATGACTGCGCCCGTTGGTGACTATGATTTATGCTACTTTTCCATTTCTCATGACTAATTCTGTCCCTCTCAACCAGTGACACTAACAGATGTCATAGCTGACTGTGGGTAGAGGAAGGACGGCCTAGTGGTTACAGCGCTAACCTGTCTACTGCAGACAGCCTGTATAGCTGTGTATGCAGTGTAGTTGTAGCCATGTCGGTCCAAGGATATTAGAGAGGTCATATCTGTTATTGGACGGATTGTAACCCACCAAACCCCTCTTCATGTCCTATGACTACACTGGTGTTAACAGGCCACTCTACCTTGAATGGTCCCTTCCAAAATGTGCTAACTACTTATGCCGAACAAGCTGTTCCCTCTTGCACTTGGCTGGGAGTTCTTTTCCCAGAGCTGAAGAAGAGCTCTGTGTGGCTCAAAAACTTGTCTCTCACCAACAGAAGTCGGTCCAATAAAAGATATTACCTCACCCACCTTGTATGGCCTCGGGCAAGGCACTTCAGGCAAGTCTACACCTAAAACGCTGCATCGGCTGTAGCTCTGTAATGAAGATGCTCATCGGCGTAGTTAACTCCCTGAGAAGCAGTAGCTAAGTTGACAGGAGAAGCTCTCCTGCCCACACAGCACTGTCTACACGGGGGGGTTAGGTTGGTATAACTATGTCATCCACGGCTGTGGCTTTTTCCCCATGCCCCGGAATGTGTAGCGTAGCGTAGACCAGACCTAAGTCTCTCTGTGTCTCAGTTCCCCGGATATACAATGGGGATAACAATACCTATCTAGGTGACAAGTGCCAACTTTCCACAAGTATCGTTAGACTAAATACATGAAAAATTGCCAGATGCTCAGATATTAGGGTGGTGGAGGCTATAAAAGCACCTTAGATAGGCAGGTATTTTTGTGGCTGACTTTTTAAACATTGGAGTTTATAATTTTGTAGCACACATGTCTACATTTGCCAAGCCCATATCTGGATTCAAGCTTCCACAAAGCTCCAATGCCTCTCTCCAC